GGAATAAAATACCAGACCATTGATAAAATACCAGTGTGACTTCAACACCTAATCCAGACATTTCCAGCATGTCAATTTCTTATTCATGCTCATGTGTCATGTATCTTTTACGTGGAAAAACATCCAGCCATTTTTACTTACTCCACACTCTAAAATATGCTGGGTTGTTTCAACCCAATGTTGGGTCAAATATGGACTAACCCAACTGTTGGGTTAAATTTTGGTTACATTTTTAAATTAACTTTTTAACCCAACAGTTGGGTTAGTCCATATTTGACCCAACATTGGGTTGAAACAACCCAGCATTTTTTAGAGTGCAGCCTTAATGTGGTGGCAATTGAGGTCTTGGTGAGCTGCACAATGAATTGATTCAAACTATTGTGACATGGAATGCTTCTCCGGTTAATTTGGAGCGAGTCCAAAGGTTTTGTTCAGCATTTGAATGCATATTATTGACTGGTCATATAGGACGGAATGGGTGCACATTTCCTGGAGATTATTGTACACTCTCATTGGTCGGCCTTTCCCTGCTTCTTCTCTGTTTATAAGACTACAATGAGGGGAAAAAAATCAATTTGTTAGCTATCTAATAATTTCTCAGTAATGCATCAATATTTCAAGACCAGCCACCACATTAAGGGTTTACTTGTCAAATCATAGTAATTCTGAAAAGAAGTCCACTTCAAAAAATAATTTTCATCTTCTGGCACATGTTAAGAAACCTAAGGCACCTTTGGTAGGACTTCTGCTCCTCTTTCAGTTGGGCCTGTCGCTCTGTTGCTATGAAACACTCAAGAAGGTTATTAGTGAATGAATGAAGGTGGGTGCTGTGTGTTAATATAGTAAGTATGCAATGCATTGAGTTCATTATAAGGAATGTCTTTGTGAGTTTGTTTATTTGCACATGGTCAAATGTATAAAAACCCTGCATTGTGCTTGGACTTTAGTGAATGATTGTAAGATGTCCTACTTCACTCTTCTCTTTTTAGCCTTCGGCATCCTGAGCAGCTTCATGCTGAGGGAGGTTACGGCTCTCAGATTGCCACTTCCTGATGACAGTGATCCCGATAGATTTACATGGGGACAGTTTCCTGAGGTAAGTGCTTTATACTCTTTCTTTTTCTTTACTACCTTTACTATTTTGGGTTGGAATATACAGTACGTGCGGAATTGTGGATTTAGCGTAAATGCACTGTCATAGTTTGCCTAAAACATATCATGTAATTAAAAAAATTATATAATTTATAATATATCATTTTTAATTCTTATTAAAATGATGATGATGATTGTTGTTGTCTTTATCTTTGATCTAAGTCTTCATATCTATTCAATCTATAACTACTGAATAAACTTGATTACGTTAGGTTGCATCATGTCATTATGAAATTATATAAATTTTTTTATTCATTTTTTTTATTAAAATGATGATCATGATTATTATTATTGTTGTCTTTATCTTTGATCTAAGTCTTCATATCTAATAGTATTGAATAAACTTAATTACATTAGGTTACACCATGTCATTACAAAATAATATAATTTCTAATATTTCATTTTTTAATTAAAATGATGATGATGACGATTATTATTGTTGTTTTCTTTATCTTTGATCTAAGTCTTCATGTATAATATTATTGAAGAATCTTTTTTGCATTCATTTGCACCGTCATTATAAAGTTTTATAATACATCATTTTTATTTTTATTATTTTTATTATTATTGTCTTTATCTTTTATCTAAGTCTTCATATCTGATATTATTGAATAAAATTAGGTTGCACCATGTTATTAAAAATAATAAAATAGTTATAGATTTTATATTAATTTTACATTTTTATTTTGATTAAATTTTGATAATTATTATTGCTGTTATTGTTGTCTTTTATCTATATCTTCATACTGTGTCTAATATTACTGAATAAACATGATTACATTTTACACCAAAAAAAACATTTTAAGGGTCAGAGCAAGCAGAAATATTTATTTATAAGAAGATTCTTTATAAAAGTTATAAGAAATGTGAAGAATTGTAGGACCAGCTAATGTTAGTACCCTCTATACTTCTGCTTTGAATTTTAAAGTGGATTTTATAAATGCAAATGAGCAAATTAAATATAATAATAATAATAATAATAATAATAATAATAAAAACAATAATTAATATAATAATAATTGAAAATTTGAAAAAATTGTGAATGCAACTTCTTAGTTTGGAAGTGACATCAGTGACTTGTATCAGTACATTATTAGGCAACTGATGATCAAATCTGCTGAATTTCACCCTTTCTTCTTCTTCTACATTTTTGTTGTCAAAGAACACTCAAGAGATTCCCCGGAGTCTGGAGATAGAAGACTTCACTCTTAATGTAGCCCCAACCAGCAGCCGTGTCAGCTCTCCCACCATTCTGCGACTTCACCCCATAATAAAAAAACCAATACACCTGCATGCCAACCTCCCCCTTCGCTTTGGGCGGGATGCACAGATGAGCGCAAGGGACCGTGCTTCTAAGTCCACTATCAACCTTCCTCAGCGCTTCGGCCGGTCATGCACTATGTGTGAGCGCTCAGGGCCTGGACCCTCAGCCACCCTCCCACAAATGTTTGGGAGGGGGAACATGTTCACTTTAGACCCTTTCCGTGCATTGACTCTCTACACACGCACACCTGAATCACCATTGTGTGTATATATATATATATATATATATATATATAAAATTTATATAACTAAAATTATATTAATTTTAATGGTATGATTAATATATAAATTACTTTTTTTTTTAGATATAATTTGTATATATAAGTATATAAGTATTAATTTAATGGAATTTCTAACAAATTGTTTTATTTGATTTCTCTCGCAGGACTCAAGTCCACGACTACATGTTTGAAACAGTAGAAGACTCAGAAGAAACTGTAAAGAGAACAGACTACACAGCTTTAGACTAATGAAGCCCACAAAACAACAGCTGTTTATGAGAGATGTTTTGTTCACCAGTTTTATGAATTTCCTATTCTCTTCATGAGAAATTATAAACTGATTAAATTATGAATAACACTATACTGGTGAGAGTGTGTACCGACAAGAGACGGCAGTCTGTCAGAAATCTCGCCACAGAAAAAAAATGCATGTCATGTGACTTAATCAAAGCACATCATTGGCTAAACTAAGGTCTTCTCTTTCCAACAAAAAAAACGAGAATGTTCTCTTAAAGAGACAGTGGCAAGGAAATGAACACAAAGAGTATGTTGCCATATGGCTACACCATGCGGTAGAGGGTTAAACTGAGTGAAGTGTTTTTGATTTGACAAATAACATCCTTGAGTATTAATAGCGCAGTAAAGGTGGGTGCACGAGCTCTTTCATTTCTAGAATACACTGAGATTAATATACAACTAATTTCGTTACGGTATTATAATTTAAGATAACTTTTAAATGTCGATATATATTTTGCGTTTGCAGAACGACTTTAATCCGCGATGTTTTATTCAATCGATGAGTACTTTAGAAAGTTAGATTTCCTGACGTACATTTGCGAAAACAAAATCAGTCGGTTGTGGCAATACTATGGTACACTGATAATGTCAATATCAATATGAATTAATTGATTAATTAATTCATTTGAATATATTAGCAATACATATTTTAATATGAATGAATTACATCCCTTACTGATTTATATACTGCACCTAACAATTCTCCTGTCCACCAGCAGAGTTCACTGTTTCCTCATTGGCAGTTCATTATTTTTGCAACACCTGCTCAGTGTTTCTTAAACTAATCACATATTCAGATTATGTAAATACATGATATATGACAACTATCATACTCACATTATAGGGACTTTTCATTGAATGCTTTGCATATTCAATAAAACTTTAAGTTTATAACCTGAGTGTTCTTTTGATGTTTTATGTAATTCCGCCATTTAATAACATGTCATACATTTGGCTATTTAAAGTATCCTACTATCACTATGTAGCTAATGTATGGTATGTAATTAGCATTCCGTTATATTTTAAGCATTTTGTTTTACACTCAAAGAACTGGTGCCTATCCAGTAGAACGGGAAGGGTGAATAGAGATGTTTCTGCTCATAATCCGACTCAATTTAATCCTAAATAAATCTTAATCTGTCTCACATGAAGTTGTCATTTACACTTGCTGTTAAAATAATGGCAATATAGAACACTAGTTCATATTTACCAAGTGTATTCCTTTGTGTTCATGTATCAACCAATTAATAAAAACATAAAACAGAGAATGAATGAATATTTATTTATAGTGATCTTTTTTAATATATCTTTTCAAGTGGTTTTAATTCTCTTGGAATGATCCCTCTAATAAAAGGAAATTGTTTCTGATAGAGAATTTAATGATTTGTCTTGTCAAGTTCATTTCAACTTCCAAAGAAATTGTGTAAACTTCTACAATGCAATAATGATTGATATCAATATATACAAATAGTTAATGCTACACTCATGTCGTCATGTGTGAATATGACTCTCTTTTAAAACATATCTCAGGTTCAGTGGTTTCGTACATTCCACTGAAGGGAGGATTCCCTTTCATGTGCAGGCAATGAACTAAATCCGTTGTTTTGCCATCCCTGGGATGGCATGCAAGAGAGCAGATTTGTCTAGCATAAATTAATCATAGCATCATTGATTCCCTATTCCTTTCATTAGACCTTATGTTGTCCTCAAAATATGTTGCTCACCCAATATCAGGTGGTTATTCTCCGGGTTAGTGGATGGTTCAATTAATTTGACTATAATAGACCGACAGGCGATAGATAGATAGATAGATAGATAGATAGATAGATATTTGAACTGCTTACCTGTGCGTACCTGAATTACATAATAATAGCTTCTGTTGTGTTTTAAAATGCCGTCTCTCAATAGGCTACATGTCAAGTTTCGATGGATTTTAATTGGCTTTCTAAACGTCAATCACCATTATGCCCCGCCCACCTCCTGCTCACCTCACCGCGGAACTCAAAACACAGGTCGAGGTTCAAACCTGAGCTGGAAGCCGTGAACTTAAAACCTGCGGTCTCCTCCACCTTCCGCTTCACTCTCGGATTACGTCGGTGCGTCACGGACATTTCGTTCGAGATAACCTTCCCAGAAGCGAAGTTACCTAAGATCTGACTTCGGCAGGTAGAAGAAGTGGGATGGTAAACCCGGTGACAGTCACTTGGTCTAACGTGTAAATGTGCTGATAAGGCGTTTTTATAAGTGGACCGTCGGTGACACGACAACAGAGCCGCCGCGCCACGCTGTCACTCTGAACCTGCAACTGCGGTAGGCACGGAGTTTGTGTTCATTTTACGCACGGAGACGCTTTAATCTATCTTTGAATTATCAAACAAGTCTTGGCTTGTTGTAAGAGAAGTATTGTATCTGTGATTCATAATCACTTTTACCGTGGGAAACCTCTTAACCATGGATGTACATCCGAACATAAATATGATTATAAAAGTGTGTTTTGTTAAAAACTCAGCCCTGATCACCAATCATTGCGTGTTGTTTGTTTTGAGTTTATTGTCTGTCGTTTTAGAAACCCTGTTCGTTCTGTTTCCTGTCCTCATCATGGATAGACTGACTCATCGATCTGCCTAATTTTACACCGTTTTTCTTTTACTAGGTCTGTTTCTCGCTCTGTTTGACCTCAGGCAGCTTTGCAGTTTATGTTGAGAAGTTGAAGGTTTTTCTGTGGTGTCATTTACGATGTGATTGATCTGTTTGGTCAAAGTCATCAGTGCATCGCGTTGCTGTGGCAACGAAAAGGGGCCCGCATCGAGTAGCCAACAAGCGTTCAGGTGGCGCCAGGAATGCAAATATTGTGTGTAGTATAATCCTTTTATTCTTATTTTATGTAGCTTTTTTGTTATTCATTTAATTGGAATCAACGTCAAATGTTGTTCCCCGTAATTATTATCAAGATGGCTTTGGTGTAGTGTGAATTTAACGGTGCTAAGTGCTAATACTTTTTAAAAATGTTTTTATTGACTTATAGGGACAGACAGTACACCTAAAAATGAAACTTCTGTCATCATTTACCATATTGGTATGGTTTCCTTTCTTCTGTGGACGGAAAAGGAGTTTCACAATTCGCTTTCATTGCATCTTTTTTTCTCCATACAATGAAAGTGAAAGGTAGCTGAGGTCGTCATTCTGCTTACTGTCTTATTTTGTGTTCCACTTTAAGGTTGCAAAATGCAGATATTGTGTTGTATAATAGTTTGACATCTCATTTTAGGTAGTTTTTAGTACCATTGATTTGGTTAATTGTTTATTTTTAGATAATGAGAAACATTGTCGAACATTGTTCCCCATCATATTGTCGTCACGATCACTGTGGTTTAGTGGGACTTTCAGAGTGTTAAACTGAAGGCTTTACATGTTTTGAAATTAATTATGTGGCTTATGAGTTGTTTCAGTATGTTTTTCCTAAATGTACTCGTACACAACAATAGGCTAAAACAAACTGCTTTATATCATACAGCCAGACAATAGTTCATACAGATCATATTTTTTTAAACATATCTGTGGCCTTTTTTCAGAGTTGGAAGTTAGATGTCAAATGTTGTTTGAAGAAGTGAAGCCTAAATTATAGTCAAGTCAAGTCACCTTTATTTATATAGCGCTTTATACAGTAAACAGTCAATTTTTCAGTTAAAGTCAGTTCATGATTGATTCAGTGATGTCATTGATGATGATACATGGTGTCATTTGCTGTCTAAACAATGTACTTAAATTGATAAGCTTTTGTTGCCCCTGTGAGATCATACTTACTAATTCATGTGACTGAAGCATCTTTCAAAGACCTCAAGGAGTATATCACTATAAAATGTGGTCGTGATTTTAACAGTAAAAGACTGTAAAAATGCTACAGTAAAAACCTGTTAATTGGTTAACAGCAAGTTTCCGTACTATATACGATGAATACCTGTAATTTACGTTTAAAAGAAGTCATTGTATAATTTACAATGAAAAACCGTACATTGACATTCCCAGAATGACACTTCACGTTTGATGTTTTTTCATTGAAATAACGGTTTCTTCTTAGTTTTTTCTTATTAGTTGCGTACATTAGGGTTTTATCTTACATCTAATGTTGTTAAATTAATGCTTATTGCATTATTTCAGTATCATGTGTGTTACCATGATGGTGTTTAGCGTTTGTGTGAATGGCACTGTGTACCTTCTATATATGTGACCCTGGACCACAAAACCAGTCATAAGGGTACATTTTTCGAAATTGAGATTTATACATCATCTGAAAGCTGAATAAATAAGCTTTCCATTGATGTATGGTCTGTTAGGATAGGACAATATTTGGCCAAGATACAACTATTTGAATATCTGGAATCTGAGGGTGCAAAAAAATCAAAATATTGAGAAAATCGCCTTTAAAGTTGTCCAAATGAAGTTCTT